AGTTCTTACAACTTTCTTAGTTTGCACACAATTTTCTGAACTCTGCTGTGAATCACATTTTAAAAACTAGACAGAGGATTTTACATTCCTTGTTATTCTTGGAATTATGAAGACAACCTGTTCATGGTAAGGATTTAGTGAGCTTAAATACTTTGAAGTGATCTAGGATTTTTTTTTTAAGTAATGGCCCTGGAAAAAGTCTTAGTTTGAAGCATGTAATTGGAAAGAGCTAGTATTGAGAGAATATAAGAGAGGCGTGGTGACGTAGTGGTTAGAATGCAGTATTACAGGCTAATTTTGCTGACTGCCAGCAGTTCGATTCTCACTGGCTCAAGGTTGACTCAGCCTTCCATCCTTCTGAGGTTGGTAAAATGAGGATTCAGATTGTTGGAGGCAAGATGCTGACTCTGTAAACTGCTTAGAGAGGGCTAAAGTCAAGTCATATATAAGTCTTATAAAGTGAAGTCATATATTACCATTGCTACTGTGAAGAAGGGTGTTGTCCAAACACTCTTATCTTTGAAAGTGAACATAGAAAGCATGGAAGAAGTGGCTGCTTTTAATGTCCAAGCAAATTCTCACAGGAGCATGCTTTGCTTGGCTCCTTTTATGAAACAAACCCTCAGTCTCTGAATTATGAACAACTCATCATATTAAACCAAACAGGTGGAATTTCAGCATTGCTTACATTTTAAATATTTCCCAGAAATATTAAGGTTACTCAAAATAGCTTAAGATCAAATTAAAAGATTAAAGATTAAAATTATCAGATGTTGGTATATTTAGCTAACATTAGACTGAAGAACTAATGTTGACTAACTGAAATAGTTTTCGGTACACCAAGGTGCGTTAACTTTTCTTAAAAGTTAAAATCTCTTATGTCATAGTAATTGTTTATGAAGAAACCAAGAGATATCTCCATATTTGTGAAAACAAAAGGCAATCTCTTGGACACTGTCTTGTCTGTCTGTTCTCTTGGACAATTTGAAAAGTCCATTTCTGAAGCCTCTTTGTTTCTGGAGCTGAATAACATCACCAGCTCATCCACATAGTTTTGGTCATAGCAGCGTTCTCATTTAGGTTCATATCGCCCTTGACTGTGTTTTCCATTATAGCAATTTACATAGCACTTTTAAGCACATAGCATGTTAGGTTTTTCTCAAAATTGCTACTTTGAAAATGTGATTAAGGAAAATGCAATAGTCCATTTTGAGAAAGCATAAAGAAGAGTTAAACAAGAGCAATGTTTTAGGAAAAAGTTAGTGGAATGCAGAATTAAAATATTCAGCATGATCACTAATCTTATTTTTTCCCCTCTGAATAATCTTTCCAGTAAGTTGAAACAATAAAATGTTTCTGTTTCTAAACTTCTTCAATATTCATCACAAAGAATATAATTAACATTGTTTATTATAATTTTATAGCTTTTACTCCTATGTTTTTTCTGCTTCACTTTTATCTTTGTGGCCCATGGACAGCTTTATAATAGGAACAGCATAGGAATTATATAAAATAAATGAATAAATAAGTTAGATGGTAATTTGCCATTGCAGCTATTATAATTCTCTGGAAGAAATTCCTTATGAAAAAGCTGTGAGAGTTTCAGCTTTGCTCTCTTTTGTAATGAATGCCCAAATTCAAAGATGCATACTCAGTTGTATATTTGGATATTTTTTTTCTCCTTTAGATTGGATGAGGATAAAGCTGCAGCAAGTCTCTACATTATAGTTCCACCAGAATGAATGGCAGACTCTTGTACAGAAAAACAACAAAATGAATATTAGGAATGTGTTTTAAGGATTGGAGTTGGCAACTGCAACTCCATATTGTATAAATCCATGAATGATTGATAATTATGTCCCATCAATTTGGTGTCAACTGCATAGATTTTCTTAGGATAGCCTGCCACAACTTGGTCCTTTAGGGCTTCAATTGGCATATTCTTCATTGCTGTAATCAAATCTATCCACCTTGTTGGTGATCATCCCCCTGTCCTTCTTTCATCTTTTCCAACATTATAAACCTCTCTAGAGAGCTATGTCTTTGCATAATGTGTTTAAAATATGATATACTGAGGCATGCATCAAGCAACTTTTCCTCATGCAATTAAATGAAGTCATATTCCTATTCATTTGTAGTGTAGAGCAGTGGGGGAGAAATTTGTCCTGCCAAGAAAATTATTATCATAAAGACTTTCATTCTGAGGTTTTTGGAGGATTTCATCTCCTTTTCTACTTGTCTTTTGACAAAAAAAATCCTCCTTCATACAAATCATTTCAAAGCTATGTCCTGGAAAGACATCTTCCTCCAACAAAAATTGACTAAAAGAGATGAAATGATATTATTTTCATCAGTGAAGGTAGAATGGTGGTTCAGTTTTTATGTTCATCCTGCCAAATTTGGGCAACTAGTAAGCTATCCTTGATTCATAGAGGTAAAAAGGGGGTCTAAATATATCTCAGAACAGCATTTCTTAACTTAATCCAACTGGACGGTATTTCTTAATGTCCTGAAAAAATAGTGATTTATTTGCTGAAATGTGTGATGCCACAGATGTGGTATATGTCTATGGCCTGATAGACAGAGTTATTTCCAGCTGTTTAATTTTTCAGACTGATAATTATTTAGTATTTATTTATTTCATCATATTCATATGGCCACCATTTCACAGACAAGTGACTGGGTGGGGTACAACAAAGCTAAAAACCATATATGCTGACGAATATTATTATGTTTAAAAATGTTAAACTTATAAAAGGTGAAAAACTATCCCTGAGGTCCCCAGGCCTGATGATATAATTAGATCTTGAGGGGACTACTGAATATTTAAAAGGGATAAGGTCAGACTGGCTTTCAGGGGAATAATGTTTCATAAAGTAGGGATCCACCAAGTCAGTGGTTCTCAACCTTTTTAATGCCGCAACCCCCCAACCGGTTGTAAGTCGAGGACTAAACCGGTCGTAAGTCGAGGATTACCCAACCGGTCGTAAGTCGAGGACTTTCCCTGCCCGGGAGTGCCGCACATGCGTGGTTCCGCCCCCTGCGCAGGCCGAGGCGTAGCTGGCAAGCGGCAGACACGGAGCAGGCCGACCACCAGCTGGCCCAGCCCAAGGGAGGTAAGGCACCCGCCGGCGGACAGCCTTGCTTGGCGACCCCCGTGAAATGGTCGATCGACCCCAAATGGGGTCGCGACCCATAGGTTGAGAACTGCTGCACCAAGTGAAGCTCCCTATTCGATGGGACTGGCAGCATGCCCTCTTTGCTAGATCTAGTGGCATGGGCAGATAGAATTAGGAAGAGACAGTCCCAGAATTAATATAGCCTCATACTATGTAGGACTTTAAAGAATAAAACCAGCACCTTGAATTGGACCCAGAAACAGACTATTAACCAATGCAGCTTGCAGAGCAGCAGTGTGCTCTTCTATGTGGTTGCAGTCTGTACTAGTGAAGCTTCTGGATACTCTTCAAATAGTATCTAATGCATGTAGACTGCATTACAATAGATCAACTAGGTGGTGACTAGGGCTTAGGTGAATGTGAGTAGAGTCCCTTGATCTAGGAATCGGCACACCTGTTGCACAAGGCAAAATTGTACAAAGGCCCTTCTAGCCACTGCTACCATCTGCTCCTTGAACAGGAATTGTACATCCAGAAATGCCAGATTGCACACAGGGTCTGTTTGGGACAGTGCAACCCTATCCAGAGCAAAGATGGTGTAGTTCCAGAACCGTTGGGCCCCAAGGCCACTCAGTCTTGTTGAAGCCTCTTGTTTTCTATTCAGGATCCTACAGCCTCCAGGCACCAGGGTAGGATATCAGCAGTATTATTTAGTTTGCCAGGGACAGAATCTATAACTGAGTATCATCATATGATACCTCATTCCACGGCAACAAATGACTTCACCCAGTGTCCTCATGTAATTGTTGAATAGGAGCACAGAAAGCACCAACTCCTCTGGCACCNCTCTTGTTTTCTATTCAGGATCCTACAGCCTCCAGGCACCAGGGTAGGATATCAGCAGTATTATTTAGTTTGCCAGGGACAGAATCTATAACTGAGTATCATCATATGATACCTCATTCCACGGCAACAAATGACTTCACCCAGTGTCCTCATGTAATTGTTGAATAGGAGCACAGAAAGCACCAACTCCTCTGGCACCCCACACAGTAGAGGATGAGGGTGGGATCTTTCCCCTCAGTCACCACTGATTGGATCAATCTAATGGGTCTGGCTTTCCTTCAATGGATGGCAGAGTGGCATCCGTGGTAATCAGGGCTTGATCTGACCATGACAAAGGGGATCCCAAAAGCTCCCCCAGTTCCCGATCACTCCATATGACTTCTTTTTTTTAATACACATTTTATTGGTTTTTTAAATTTTAACATCAAAGTGCTCAGGAATATACCATGGTGAAAGGGTAATCAATCATAACAAAACAAGGATATGACTTCTTTTTATTGTAGGAACAATTTGCAAAGATACTCGCTTGTGATTCAAAGCCACTGTAAAATATCAGAGTTTCAAAAAAAGTAAGAAAATTCAACGTAACTTGAGACATGTGGTTCTGTGGACAGAAATCTCTACCTTTGGGATGTTATGATTCAGGTTTATCCATTTATCTGGGAACTCTCTCAGGTCCTGTAAAACGTATGCAATCTGTTGACAGATTTTCTTATCTAAACCTATTCCTGCCGTGCCTGTTTCCTGTTGCTGCTTATTCTGCCTCGGATCAGTTTCATCTTTTTCAGCTCTAACTGGAAAAGAAAAGCAAGAAATAGTCAATGTTAATACATCTTGTTTTAACAGGACAATAATATTGTTGTGTTTTGTTTTACCATAATATGGGTTACCTTGGTGTCTCCTAGTGCCTCTGTTTTCTCATCTCTTTCTAATAAATACATGATTGTAACTGATTTAAAATCTGCTGCAATGGTTAAATTTCTTGGTTCCTTGCAGTGTCCTTGGTTTATTGAGTCTCCTTTTCCTTCTTTCAAGGTGCCTCGTCTCCTGACATGGAGTCTACCTATGGGGGAGGACTATTGGACATGATGAAAGGTGGTGCAGGGAGACTCTTCAGCAACTTAAAGGATAACTTGAAAGACACTCTAAAAGATACTTCTACTAAAGTGATGCAATCTGTTGCAAGGTACTATGAAATACACCCTATCTGAGATGTTCAGCAAGCAACACGGTCACTGTTAAGATGCCTTATAGAAATGATTAGGTGTTAAAAGGCTTGTGGGACGGGAAATTTGATTATTGAGCAATAGAGTAGTGAAATGAAAAGCATTTTAATAATTAAACTCAGTTCGCTAAAGTGAAACACAGAATCTGAAATTTAGGTAACATGATTACAGACAGTTCTTGCTTAGCTGATCGCCTTGTTCAGTGACTGTTTAAACTTATGAAAGCACTGAAAATGTAGATTTGCGACTGGTCTTCGAACTTGAGGCTATGGCAGTGTCCCTCTATTTCTCAAGTTCTCTCCTTTCCCAGGACTGAGTTTTCATTTATTTTCTCATCATGTCTCAGTGGCTCTTGCATACCTTTGTCAAGGCCATCTCTGTACTCCTTTGCAATTAAGTTGTCATATTCTAAATCCACTGAAATACATGGCACAATTAATTCAGGAATGTTAGACCCATGCGATTAGGTTCTTGAACGAGAACTGACAGCTCTAAGTGTGAGTTATTGGTGAGTGGTTTCCTCCCCCCCCCATGAAACCAAGGAGACACCCTTTTGAAACAAGACACTTTTCATAACAATATATACTTAGATGAATGCTGGGTCAGGACATAAAGACCCCTACAGTCATGGATGAAAATATCACTGTTGCTGCACTATGAACCATATTGACATTCTCAACTATTACTGTTTCTAGTGGGAGATTGAGATCATACAAACTCTTCCTTGCTCACAGCCACCTGCTACCTTCATTGATTGATTGATTATATGCAATCAAGTCGGTAACGATTCTTAGCAACTATGTGCATAGATTTTCTCCATTACATATACATGACACTCAGAATATGGTAGCCTCAACATTTCTATTGATCACTAGATTGGAGAATAATTTCTCCCTCCCTCTCTTTATTCATTTATTTGATTTGATTTGTTAAGGCGACCCTATTCCAAAAAGATTTTGGATGGCTTTTAACATCTAATACATTAAGTTAAAAAACACAACTAAAGTCACAGAACTGCCCTGACTAAAAGAAGCATACCTCAACTTTTTTTAAAAAAACAACAACAACTCAACAGGGGCTCCACAGGCACTCTCAGACCAATGCCTGGGAACAGATCCAGGTCTTAAGGTACTTCTGAAAGTCATAGAGAACAAGAGCTTTCTGTCTTGGTGGGGGGATGCTGTTCTATAAGATAGAGGCAGCGATAGAGAAGGCATGCTTTCTTAGTCCACAGGATGACAGCTTTTAATTGAGGTGACCTAAAATGTACCTGCTCTGCCTGAATACCACGGATAGGCAGAAACAACTGGAGACAGGTGATGTCTCAAATGACCAGGCATTATGATATGAATTGGTTATGACCAACAATTCAAATTGTCCTGGAAGCCATAGAACATAATAAGTGCCCATTATTGCTTGGCTGCTGCATTTTGAACCAGCTGCAGCCTTCGGAGGGCATCTTCAAAAGGGCAGCCTCATTAGAGTGCATTGCAATAATCCAACAGTCATAGGTGATGGGCCTCCCAGGTGAGGAAAGGGCACAACTGGTGCTCAAGATAAACCTGTGCAAAGGCCCTCCTGGCCATAGCTGCCACCTGCTCTTTGAGCAGTAGCTGACGGTCTGGGAGGACCTTGAAGTTACATACCAGTCTTGAATAGGAAAGTGCAACCTCATCCAAGATCAAAAGTCTTCAACACAGTCTTGTTAGGATTGAGCCAAAGTCTGTTCTTCCCCTTTCCTATGCAGACAGCTTCTAGACAATGGGCCAGAACATTGACAGCATTACCTGCACAATTTGGCTTTGAGATGTACATTTGAGAGCATTCTCATACTGTTTTATACTGAACTGTGAACTGATGAGTGACCTTACCTAACTGTTACCTATATCAGTCTTAAATAGGAACTCCGAACTCTGAGATACCCCACAAATGAAGAAATATGATCGCTTGTCTCTCGTCTAATATTGACCTGAACAAACCACTAAGAAAGGATGTGAACAATTGTAACGAAATGACCCCCCTCCATTCCCAACTTCTGGTACACAAAAATACCACTGGAGATTGTATCAAAAACCCTTGAAAGATCAAGGAACACAAGGAGGGATGCCATAGATCATCAACAAGCATGACCAATGCTGTTCTACTAAAATCTGGCTTGAAACCTGACTGGAAAAGCATGGAATTTAACAGAAACAATGAGTTCTTCTACCATAGATTTTCAATGTGAAGCAAATGGACTGGAGTGGAATGGAATAGGCTGCTGAACACTGTAATGAATATAGAATTCTAGTTTATTTAGTTTTTCTTTTTTGTCCTTATAATTGGAAATTTTTTATTAGGTAAATAAATAATAATATTTATTAGGTAAATATTATTGCGTTTAGCCTCCATGTTTGTAATAAGTGTGGGAGAGGTGATTGGCCCCTAAAATATCCAGTGAATGTAAAGAAAGGTAATAATACATTCTTGATATTTTTATCAGACAGTTGTGTATGTGTGCATTAACCAGAATCTGTTTTGTTATCTTCTTTTTCCTTTTATAGCTATACCAAGGGAGAACTAGATATTTCTTATATTACCTCAAGAATTATTGGTAAGTGATCAGTTACTTGAGTAATAGAGCAATGCAGCAACCTCCAACTTCTCATTGCCCATTTTATTTGGGTTTCACTTCAGAATATAAGTTTGTTCTCCCCCTCCCCATTTCTTGATAGTGATGTCATTTCCGGGTGAAGGAGTCGAACTGGGATTTAGGAATCATATTGATGATGTGCGGACATTTCTTGATTCAAGGCATCCTGATCATTACACAGTTTTCAATTTGTCACCAAAGTCTTATCGTACTGCACGGTTTCATAATAGGGTAAGTTTTGTTGAGGCAGGGATGTGGATCATGGTAAAGCTGTGATATTAAAATAATGATGTAGCTGGTGCCATGTCAATGTTCATGTTCATTGCATTGCTGACACTATCTAACCATCTCAACCTGGGTCATCTTCTTATCCTTTTGCCTTCTATCTTTCCCAACATCAGGATCTTTTCCACAGCTTGCTAAATCTGAGTTGAAATTTCTGCGTTCACATAACGTGTTGTGCTTAAGGGTAACAATAGGGACAATCATGTGTTTCAAAATAGTGGGTGAAACCATTACAGCCAACACCTTATTCTGTTTTACATGTATGTAAAGCCATACTGCAGGCCTTTTATCTTCTGCCTTTTGAAGGTCAGGAGTTTAATCATCACTGCAGATGAGCTGGATCATGCCTAAACAAATCACATTATGTGGATGAGTTGGTTTATAGAACATACTTGGGTCTTAAAATATGCTAAACTGAAAACTACCTGACCTCTTTCTAGTTTTCTTTTATGCTGATCAAATCCAGCTGATTGTTACTATTGTTCTGACCTGTTTTCATTTTGTGCTTCTTTAGGTATCTGAATGTAGTTGGCCAATTAGACAAGCACCAAGTCTCCACAATCTCTATGCTGTTTGTAAGAATATGCATAACTGGTTGCAGCAGAACCCAAAAAATGTTTGTGTCATTCACTGTATGGTAAGTCAAGCAGTAAGTAACCATTTGTATGTAGATCTATACAGAAAACATATTTGAAATATGAAGCTTGACATAAATTAATGTCCTTTTAATGAGTAAGGATTGCTGGTTGTTGAAAAACAACCGATGTAGAGTACAAACAATACAAAAAAGAACTAAAAAAACTGAAAATTGACTTGTGGCAATCTGTATGCGGAGAGCAATGCTAAACTTGACAGACACTGCAATATTTTGGGATATTTCTTTGTCCAATTCAATAAGAGCCTATCATGTTTTTGGGTTTCTCTCAGCTAGATATTTATAGCTTTAATGATGAAAAAGTGAGAGACATGGAATGTCTTGTTCTTGTAGTTTTATTCCTGCAGTTTTTTGTATTTGATCCAAATTTGTCTCTAATAAAAAAAATCATCAATTTTCCTATGCAGAAAATAAAACAAGATATTTGGAAGAAGAGATGTAGTCCCTAATAATAATAATAATAATAATAATAATAATAATAATAATGATGATGATGATGATGATGATGATGATGATGATGATAAAGTTGGAAGGGACCTTGGAGGTCATCTAGTCCAACCCCCTGCTCAGGCAGGAAACCCTATACCATTTCGGACAAATGGCTGTCCAGTCTCTTCTTAAAAACTCCCAGTGTTGGAGCATTCACCGCTTCTGGAGGCAGGTTGTTCCACTGGTTAATAGTTCTAACTGTCAGGAAGTTTCTCCTTAGTTCTAGGTTGCTTCTCTCTTTGGTTAGTTTCCACCTATTGCTTCTTGTCCCCGTAATGGTGTTTGCAGCATCTGATTTTTATAACTATATGAATAATATTTTTTTTTAAAAATTGGCTGCTTAGTGTATAGGGTTGTGTTCTTGCAGGATGGTAATTGATAAACTTTATATCATTTCCAAAGTCTTGCCAATTCACCTCATGAAACTTGTGATATTGGTTTTTCCTCACTGCTTTCTTCTGGAATGTTCCTTATTAATTTCAGAAGAGATTAAAGTGCTATGTCAGCATCAGTAATGGATCTTATCACAAAAGTTGCAGAGACATCCAAACAGAGACATCCAAACCAATGTTCCTAAAATGATTCATTTTGTAGTCTGTTACTGATGGGCAATTTATCTTTGGAGAGTTTTATGTGGCTGTTCCTGAAAACTTTACATATATTATTGGAGGAACGATTGTTGTCCATCGTAATCCCTCTTTTGACTCTTATCTGAGAATGTTAGGATTGGATTTCTGAAGTTGTCATTTTATTTATATATACAGACAAAAAGCAGCCTGCCAGTAATTTAATGCTTGTTATATTTCTTAACACATCAAAACTAAAGAAAAGGCTGAAAGTATTTACCACCTACTCAGTTGCATGGAGAGTCTTTATACCGAACCTTTTAGTTCCTCAGGAAAATCAGTGCTATTATAGAAGTTCTTTCAAAAATTGGTCTGGCATTTACATTGAGTCAAAAATGTCATGGTCCATGTGGAGTGCTACTATATTAGAACATGTTTCCATAACTTTATTTTAGGCCTGAAAATGGCATTACACCCTGCATGGGCAAGATAGAATGCATGCACATTAGCCCTGAGCAGTACTTTACAGCATTATTGTTCCTTTTATGTCTTATATAAACATTTGGTGTCAGGAGATGCCTAGCAATTCTATAACAGTCTTGAGTCACCCACAGTGTTAATTCTAGTGGGACTGTTTAAGTTATTAAACAGGCTTATTTTTTTAGGAAGCAAAAAATAATAAAATACAAATGATAAAATTTATTAATTCAGTTTATTACTTAATGATTGCGTAGAAAGCAGTCAGATTACCATTGAAATGTTCAATAGTTACAATTAACAGTTAGCTAATTGTTAAGGTAGAGATATTAAGCAGTCTGTAGAGAATTCAACACATTTAATGCATTCATTTCAGTAAGACAGGGGAAATGGGGTATTTGGAGAAGTGATTTAATGGAACCTACACAAAACTCTGCTTGGAGTCTGAAAAGCAGAAATATCAAAATAAAGACTAAGTCCACTGTAAGGCTTCTTGCCATAGTAAAGAAGACAAGAGATAGTGTAATGGCATAGTATTAAGAAACACTTTATCCTTTTCCGAAGGATTTTAGCAAATTCAGAAAAAATGAACACATTTGTCAGGCAATATAGAGTAACTCAGTGTAATAGAGAATATAGCACTTTCACATAACTAGACATAATAGAGAAAGTCAGGCTTTTAAACTCCAGGTAAAAAGTGTCCTCTTAAAAAGGGTCAGCAGCAGTTCCAATTCAGGTAAAACAGGACAAATTAATGACTTGAGCAGCACAATCATTTTGGTATTGTGCCAGTTCTTGATTTTTCTAATTTAAATAGCTTCTGCCGTAATGAGGATGAGAAAGAAGATTTTTAAGGCAGAGAGAACATATTGAAAGCATGGAAGGAAGTGCCAAAGGATTGTGCTGGTGGATGGCTGTTTAAAATAATGTGATATACCACATCTGAATACGAAAGCTAAAATGGTAAAAAAGATTAATGAAGGAAAGCATTAGTTAAATGGCAGCACCCCTACATGATTCCTTGGCTTGATTATTAATATCTTCCCTGAACAAAATTTCAAAAGAGAGAGACATTTGCTGTTCTCCTATACTATCAGTAAAAATGTCCAGATATACCAATACTTTTCTTCTAACTCTGTCATTATTTTCCAAATTTCCCAGCAATCAATAATGCAAATTGGAAGGTTGAAGATTGAGGGCACCATTTTAGAAGTCACATCTGCTTGCCTTGGGTTACTCTTATTTTATACCTTAATGATACCAGAATTTTCTGAGCAAAGGGTGTCAGAATGAGGGCAACCCAAACTAAGATGATTTTGCAAGCCAACCAAACTTCCCTTCCAGCTTCCTTGTAGAGCACAGAGTTTGTTGTTGTTGTTTTGCTTTATGGCTTGACCAGAATATTGAGACTACCCAAACATTAAGGAAATTATGGGTATAATTTAAACTCTGGGGAAGCAAATCGGTAACAATAGTTTGCTTCCCTAAAATACAGTAAAGTAATTTTCATGGGAATTGGATTTTTGAGTATAGGCTTCATAAAATTGTATGCCACTTAGTTCTTCACTTGGCCTGTCAGACCCTGCTCATCCATGAACAAGACTTTTTCTATTCTTTTATACCTGGATGGCCTTTGTTCACCAACAACAATGAATATAGGAAGTTACTTTTAGTGAGCCAGCCAAGACCAAGAATAAATTTCAGTTGTCTTCAACCTCTGTACCCCTAAGTGATGTAAATATAATAAATGTAGAACAATAATGCCTCCTCTAAGATCCCATATGCTTTATTCAGTTTTCTCCGTGGGTCCAAAAAGAGGAATAATATGGGAGCCATCCTTGATAGTTAGCACATCAAACAAGTATCTGATAATCCACATTTTTGCATACAGGTCATTAAAATAATCAGAACAATACATATCTCTTCCTCTGTCATATTCCTGTCATTCCTATTTGCAGACCCCCAATTTCTAATATTTGCTTGTTAGCACCAGCCCGTCTTATCAGTATGGCATCTACTTCTAGAGTTTATCAAAGCTGATGATGTCCTTAGCAAATGGTTCATTTGGGAGCCATGATAGACACATCAAGCAAGTTAATCCCCTTCTCCACCAACAGAATTTTGACAGCTGGCCATCAGAGTCCACCAAGTTGCAGAGATGATACATCTGACATACCCTAGAATTGAAGTATTTTTGTCTGGAGATCACCCTCACATTGGCATTGTTGCCTCTTTTAATGGAGTCTCCTGATTTTCCCCCAAGCAACTTCAAAGATGTCACTTGCCACCAGAGGTAAGGCTGTTGTTCCAATTGTTGATGACTTTTGGTAACCCATATGAAGACATCCTGTCCCTAGGACACTATTAACCAGGTAAATAAATCTATCTGGAGAGATCTGTTCAATGCCAAGTGGTATAGGAACACTAGTCTACAGATCAGCTGTAGTATCAGTGGAATTCCAGGTGGTTAATCTGGAGTAAAAGTCCTTACCTTTGTAATTTAATTCATAATACTGCCATTGATTAGATTTCTAGTAATCAGCAGTTTTCCCCCAAATACCCCTTTCTTCTGCCTTCTGTTAAGTGATTCATAAGTTATTGGTGTCCTAAAATCACAGAGAATGAAGTAAGGAATTTTCTTCCATTTCTTCAAAGGCACAATACTGCAGCAGAACCATGATTCAGAGAGATCCATGTAAGAGAAACAAATTAATCATTATTTCCCTTCAGTAAACAGCTTTTTGTCATTCAAATCTTGGCTAGCTGGGCAGTTTTGAAATTATAATATGAAGAACAGGCAATTATACCTCATTGTCTTTTAGAAAACTATTTTACAGATTTTATAGTAAAGTAGCCATAAATCGGAAGGTGCAAGCAAATTCATTAATAATAAGATACTAGACAATTTGTATAGAGATGGGATATAGGCAGGTAGGTTTGATTCCTCACCTCAGTATTGCCCATAGAAACTCCAAGGTACAGTGTAACTGATGGGAAGAGGATATTTGTAGCTCAGGGTGGAACTGTGGGGTCCTTGGTCTTGCAGAAAACAACCAGCTCAGAGAGCACCATGGACCACGCAGTACTGTAATTCTTAAAATGATGACAAAACTTATATTTAACCACTAAAGAACATCTTACTAAAAGTTTACTCCCTCAAAGTAAACTCTCATGCATAAAAGTTAGCCAGAACTCTATCAGAATAGTGAGCATATGTCTATCATGTTCCATCTTTATTTATTTAAATATTTTATCCCACCATTCAAAAAAAAAATTGCACTCAAATTGTTGTATATTTTGACATTTGTATATTCTATAAGACAGGCACAACCCTCTCCATATTTATCTTTCCATAACAAAGGTAAACAATGGCAAACTGCATATATCCTACTAAACCATAGTGCTATCTTTATCATGGCTCATAAAGTGTGGTTTGTGGTTTAATGTGATGCTTGAGTGTAATCAAGGCATCATCTTTCACGGGTCCATGGAATTTATTTTATCTTTATTTTGCTTGGAACTCTCACAAGTCCCTAAAAAGCTCTGTTTAGCAGATTTATATAACCACCCATCCACCAAAGAAACATGTCTAGGAGCTAAATAGAAATAAAATAACCAGCTGTACAGATCCACTAAAAATAAAATGGGTCGAGACTCCTAAAAATTATATTGTCAACTCATCAAACAAATCACATAAACAACAGAATTCCAACTCCAACAACTTTCTGAGCCCAGTGCTAGGTGGAAGAACCAGGTCTTTACATCCGTCCAGGAAGCCAACAGTGTTGGCCAATAGACAGAGCACTCAAGATCTTTATTTATCTTATAAGAGTCTTCACTTTTTCACACTGTCACTTTGGTTATTTTATTTTATCCTTCTGTCCTAATTCTATATCAGCAATGCAGCTGAAGACATGCATTGCCTCAGTATGTAAGGGACAACTCTTTAAATTTTGTCGAGTTGCTGCTTACTTTATTGGGGAGAAAGCCACATATCCAGCCTTTTCTGCATGTGGCTTCCATGTAAATTATATACTTATGAAATTCTGATGCCCTCCAAATGTTTTTAATTATCAACATTATAATCTCTCACAATTGACCATGAAGCATGGAAATCAAGAATGTTGTAATCTAACATTTGAAAGCCATAAAGTTGTCTATTTATCAGACTTCTCTGAAGATCAAAGATTTTTGGAAAGGAATGTTACAGAATTATCTTAATAGTGATATTGGATTACTCTGATTATATACCACAGCTGGAAGCTTTTATCTAGCAAACTGATTATCTAAGTACTGGACACTTACTGTCTATAATTTGAATGCTTCTGGTTTGTTGTGATGGACACACTCTAAGTACACTTGAATCAATGATGACTCACTTCTGGCATAGCTGGGAACCATAGGTAGGATGCTGTTTTCTTCCTCTGCACTCTGGATTACAATAGAACAAATCAGAGAAGAATTCTACCCTGTTTGTTCTTCATCTTCTATTTGATGGACTTGCTTTGTTGTAGTCTGTATCCAGCTGAGCCACAGTGCCAAGTATAAAAATTGTGTATCTCACACAATCCCTTTCTAGTTTTTAACCCATTGTTGGATGTTTCCATCACACTACACTAGAAGGAATTTTCACCGTCATTGTCCAATGGTCTTTCTTTTGCATAGGAAGCACTTGTGTAATTTTCTTCTTTTTACACTTTTTAAAAAACATCCAAAGTCAAATGTTTGTTTTCTGTTTCATCCGTGTAATCCTATGAACATTTTTTCAGAGGGAAGCATCTCAAGAGTTTCTGTGGAGCTTCTGTTTTAGTTTTAGTTTCAAAGCAGCATTGAACAAATCTTGTTTATAAAAAAATTGTTTTAACAAAATTTAATAGATTTTGTTTAATAAAAAAACATGGCTCATTTGAAAGGTGAATTTTTCCTGATGGAGGGCCTTGTATTTTGTCTGACAGGATGGTCGTGTGGCATCAGCAGTCTTGGTCAGTGCAATGTTCTGTTTCTGTCATCTCTTCTCTAATCCAGCTTCTGCTGTTCAATTGCTAAATTCAAAGAGACCTGGAGTAGTACTCTGGCCGTCCCACAGAAGGTATAGTAAATGTGTTTTAAATCATGTGCAATGTAAATTATATCAGGTGATACTAATTTACTTAGCAATAGCAATAGCACTTAGACTTATATACTGCTTCACAGTGCTTTACAGCCCCCTCTAAGCGTTTTACAGAGTTAGCATATTTTCCCCAATAATCTGGGTCCTCATTTTACTGACCTCAGAAGGATGGAAGGCTGAGTCAACCTTGAGCTGCTGAAAATCGAACTGCTGGCAGTCAGCAGAATTAACCTGCACTGCTGCATTCTAACCACTGTGCCACTCTTAGTTCCTGGATCCAGATTTTAGTCAATCTCATCCTTCTTTAACATCAACAGCTACCTTTATTTTTGTTACTTTGAGACAATGTTGACTCCTAGTGACTACCTGGACAAGTCCCTGCAGTTTTCATGGCAAGATTTTTTGTCACTGCCTTTTCCCAGGGCTGAGATAGAGAGTGACTAGTGCCCGGTCATCCATTTGGCTTTGTGCCTAATGCAAGACTAGAACTCATAGTCTCCTGGTTTCTAACTTGGTGCCTTAACTCCTATACCAAACTGGCTCTCTAACAGCTTCCTAACTGCACTCAAATCAATGGGAATAGTATTATCAAATTTGGCTGAGCAGCTGAAGCTTGGCAAGCGTTTTAAAAAGATTTTCAATGATAGTGTCAAGCATTCAATGTTATTGAAGGTTTCACACTTCTCATTTTCTACGCTGCATTCTCAAACATATATCGAGAGAGTCCTGTTCAAGTGGGCACAAGAATCTTCAGTTATTCCCAAAGAATATAAATATATGGGTTTAGACAGGAAGCCATCACCTTTTCAAAAGTAGAAAAATGTGTATTCAGACAGAAACGTCTAGATCAGACTTCCTCGGCCTGGTCCTATCTTCCCAAGTAGGAAATTATACTATAACACACATGGGGTGGAGATTATACTACAACATACATGGGGTGGGAAGTTATACTACAACACACATGGGGTGGGATGGGGAGAGTAGCGTTGGGAAAATTGGTTAAATTCTATGGCAAGGCTGAGCATGGGTCACATGCAACTTATTTTGGGACCTGTGCTCTTCTGGGCAATCTGCTACTAGCTGGTTGATCGGTAGCTGGCAACACAAATAGTTAGAAGGGAAGCCTCATGCTTTACAGAAAAGCAGTAGGAAAGTGGAGACTAAGCAGCAAATGTTTGCTACTTTTCTATATTAAGTACTCATTCTCTTATCTTAAGGGTGAGGCGACCTTGCTTCTGTAGCTTTCTAGGCAAATGTATCAAATCTATATTATTTGTTTTCTTCCTTGATTAACTCAGGATTTTTCATTGAATTTGCTCTCTTGACATTATTTAATTTTGGCAAGCATCTATTAAAAATTAAGTTCTCTTGTCAGTAGGATATGCTGTTGAAAATCTTCATTATGATAATGAACCAAGTTCCCTGTGAAGCCAAAGAACACAAGCAGTAATACATGTAGATTTTTTCTGAATTCCCTTTTTCACTGCAGGTATTTAGGATATATTTGTGATCTAATAGCAGACAAGCCTGTCCAGCCTCACTGCAAACCTCTAACCATCAAATCAGTCCTTCTCAGCCCAGTGCCCTGTTTTAACAAGCAGAGAAATGGCTGCCGGCCTTTCTGTGACATCCTTATCGGAGAAACTAGAATATTTACAACATCACAGGAGTATGAAAGAATGAAGTAAGTTCCTCTCCGTTGACTGGGCAGATAAAAATCCCACTTTGGTTGTTTGATATGTATTTACCTATGGTAGCACAGGTGAGCTAATTCATGATCTAGGCACCCTGGCTTTCAATCAATTATGATTGATGTTGATTGGATCTCAGCAGCCATTGCCTCCTTCAGGGAGATAGAAATCTCAATTGGCTGAAGTTTTCATACCTTTGAAGGATATCCGACATCAGTGACGGCGAACCTTTTAGAGACCGAGTGCCCAAACCGAAACCCAAAACCCACTTATATATCGCGAAATGCCAGGGCTGCATCAGCATTGTGGCGCCTTCGGGGGGACAGGGAGGCGCCTCTGAGTGCCGCCTCTGGAACACAAAAACCGGGGGTACAAAAATGGACCACCGTGCTGCAAGGCGCAAAAATGGCCGGCGCCACATCGCAGGGTGCAGATACAAGGCACTGTGCCATGTAAGAACGGGGCAGGGCTAGTGAGTATCACGCAGGCACTAGCTCTGCCCCATTTGCAGCACGTGCGTGCTTGTGCCCCCATGCACGGATGCATGCATGTAAAATGCTTTCCCCTTCCTCTTCTTCCAGTCCATCAATCGACAATGGTTGGTGACCTCTGCTCTACCACCTCTACTCAAGCTTGCTAGTCGGCCCCTTCGCCTCCTTTGTGCTGGGCGGGGCTCCTGCTCCGGGTGGCAGTGGTGGCCGAATGGACCTGCTGCTGGCGGCTGTGGCGCGCGTGCCAACAGAGAGGGCTCTGAGTGCCACCTCTGGCACACGTGCCATAGGTTCGCCACCACTGTGCTACATCATCCATCCATATGCACCTTCCTTCAGACTGACATCAATTAGCCAACCCTTTCATGCACTTATTATACATGGATTCCGTATATTTGATGATATTTTGTCTTTCTCTGAAGTTTTGCTTTTGCTTCTAAGCAGCTTGAATGTCACACATCCCCTGCTAATGGTATTTCAGTATACAACAATGTTTCACCATAAACAGCTTACATGTAGATGCAGTGAAAATTTTATGAGTTGTATAGAATCTACTATATGAACAGTTGTCTGTATAATCTATGAATTGAACAGTTTTTGAGAATAGCCAGATCGTTACATTTAGAAGTCAGAATAAAAATAAATAATATTTTTATTTTGATCCCCGCTTTGAGCTTTTTTACTCCACCCAACTCAACTACAATGAACTGCAGTGTTCAACTTCTGGGTTATAATTCTTTATTCACTGTGAATTCTGTGTTTTGATTCCTCATGAATACCACTTTAGACAGAATGTTCTGCTTGTTTTTTTTTCCCCTTAGGGAATTCCGTGTTCAAGAAGGAAAAGTTGTTATTCCACTAGGAGTCACTGTCCATGGTGATGTAGTTGTTTCTGTCTACCATATGCGATCAACCATTGGGGGACGGCTTCAAGCTAAAGTATGACTTGATGTATCTTTTAAATGCAAGGTTAAACATTAAGGAATATTAGCTGATCCAAAATATTTTACTATTATGCTATAAAAATTGGATTTAAGCATATAACTCAGAAAGACAGTTTGTTAGAGTAATGAGTAAAATGCAAGAATATGGAAAAGCAAATTTAGAAAAGTTATGATGTTTCTTACTGAAAACTCTTTGGTGCCTGAAGGAAAAAAATTGCTCTGATAATGTTGCTGAAATATTATGTTCATACCAGTACTTGATGTCAGCAAATAGAAAATGAACAGATTCATTCATTACCATGGTTGCTGCAGAAGCAACACACATCCTGCATATAACAAGGGTTGTGTCAAGGATAATATGAAAAATACTGCTTCCACAACCAGTCCAGCCCCGGATCAACCATTAAGCAAAACAAGAATGTGCTTTTGGCACTACAGAGTGTTTTCCTTTAGCTATCATGCCCTTAACACTTTCACTGCCAAACTCAACTTTAGTTTTCATCTGTTATTGGGCCAGCCGTCAGTCAAGCAATGGAAAGCCAAGGGACACTGTTGTGGGGCTGTGTTTAGTGCATCAAATGGTCTTAATCCAGCCCTGAAGCAGTCAGAAAAATCCAATGATTCCTGCCCTAGTTAGATTCCCGCCTGTTCTTAGAAAACAGTTAGTGAGGTGCTTTGATCCTAGGCTTGGGGAGAGGGACTAGCCCAAAGTCACTTGGTCAACTTTCATGCCTAAGGCAAGATTAGAACTCACAGTTTCTAGCCAGGTGTCTTAATCACCAGAGCAAATTGTCTCCCTAGACCAGGGGTCCCCAACCCCTGGGCCACAGCCCACTATCAGGCCGTGAGCTGTTTGGAACCGGGCATCTCCACTTGTACAAGCAGCAGGCAAGTGCACATGCATGCATCCCCACTTGCACAAGCAGCGGGTGATCATGTGTTTGCGTGCTTCATTTGTGCTTGCGCGGAAACATTCCCTCTCCCCCTCCAGTCTGGTCTGAAAAACTGGAAAGGTTGGGGAACTCTTCTCTAGACCAAATTTTTATTTCTTCATTGTTTCAATATTGATGCCTATAGTAATAAAATTGAATTCTTCAACAATGTACACCTGAAATTTGCTATTGTTTTCTTTAATTTTAAAATTATGTATTTAACATTTCTTACAGATGACAAACACACAAATGTTCCAGATTCAGTTTCACAGTGGATTCGTACCTCTGGGATCAACAACATTAAAATTTACTAAGTAAGTATCCTTAGAACACTGAACTGCATATACAGTAGGAGGTCTTCTTGTAATAAGTATCTCAAAAAGCTAACAAGTGGAAACTGTAGATTTGATTTATTCAAGAAATATTAACTCACCTCCAAAACAGGAATATTTCAAATTAGGTTATAGAATATAATTCCATAAGAACAATTCCAATGCTTTAGCGAAATAAATTCAGCTGCAAAAAGCGAGTAAAATATTTCAACATATCAAATCTAATTTTTAATAAATCAAATTAAACACAGGCAGATTCTAATAAACTCACGGTATAATTATTGCAAAGTTTAGACCACATGGGAATTTAAAATTAATTTCAACTTATTCTGCTGCATGAGGCTTGGGTATCCTATTCATGTAATATGTGAGCAGTGAGCAAGGCTAATCAATATTCATTGATCAGAAGCCTGCAAACCAGCCTCTATATAGAGATGAATTTAGGTAATTAGAGAAGCCAATAGTGCTAACTTGGCCAGAGAATTCTACTTAGGTCCTTTCAGCTGCACTAATAACTCTATTTCTCTTTTCTGTTAGCTGAAGAAGTCAGTCAATGCTCAGGAAATAGTAATTCAATCAATCAATCAATCAATCAATCAATTTATTATTACAGCCGAAGGCCAACATATAAATTAAACGAAATAGTAATTGAGTTGTAGTAGCAGAGGTGTTGAGAAGGCTACAAGGATCATAACTACTTCTGTGAATGCTTAGGTCGGGTCACAGATTTCTGTAAAACTATCTCGTGCGGAACTAGATTTTCACCAAAGAAAACATTAAATGTGAATGAACCTTTTTATCTGCTCTAAAAGGAACTGTATACAGGTAGTCCTCGGCTTACAACCACAGCCGAGCCCAAAATTTCTGTAGTTAAGTGAAACGTTCGTTAAGTGAACTTTACCCCATTTTATGACCTTTTGTACCACAGTTCTTAAGTGAATCACTGCAGTTATTAAGTTAGTGACACGATTGTTAAGCGATTCTGACTTCCCCATTGAAAGAAAGAAAGTCGCAAAAGGTGATCACGTGGCCCCCAACCACTGCAACGTCATAAATATGACTCAGTTGACAAGCATCTGAATTTTGATCACATGACTGTGGGGGTATCGCAACAGTCGTAAGGATGAAAAACACTCATGTGTCACATTTTTCAGTGCCATTGTAACTTTGAATGGTCACTACATGAACTGTCATAAGTCGAGGACCACCTGTGTATCTTTTCCTTCAGGTATCTATGAAATATTTTCTGTATTTATTCATTTGAAGTCTGGGAATACATTAAGTCCACAATACCCTTCTCTGTTTCCGATGCAAACTGTACTCCAACGTCCAGATACTTAAATCTTAACTAATTTTTTATTAGGAAGTTCTATTGGATTTCTTGCTACCACGTAACATTAGCAGTTTGTTTAAAAAGAATTAATCCTATGGTATAAGTAATTGTCATTACTACATTCAGGTTCAAAAAATATGATTGAACAGGTGATCTTCAAACCATTTCTTTGATTTAATTTGAATCTTTAGGCCTGAGCTGGATGCATGTGATTCACCAGAAAAATATCCCCAACTCTTCCATGTCATTGTGGAGATAGAAGTAGACTCCACTGATAGGCAAACTGACTTAACTCCTCCATGGGAGAATTTCAGCACAAAAGACATCAACCCCAGCATTCTTTTCTCATCGCCTCAGGAACATCAAGACACCCTTGCTCTGGCAGGTAAGGAAGGCATTCGTTTTATCTGGGGGAATAATCCCCAGCCCACATAGATAATGAGTTCCACTTCATAAAATCCCCAGTCAGCATGGCCAAAGACTGGAGATTTCAGCTTTCATGAAAATATCAAGCTTGGCTATTTTAAATTCACTCATCTTTGATTTATCTGGACTCCTTTTACATTATAGGTAGAAGTTCTGTAGATGCAGTACAAGATAACCTAAAGAATGTTGGCCAGGGTGCATTCTTGTCATCTCTCAGCTGGCAAGGTATATATGATTTCTCCTCAAGTCATCTATCTTTCAGAACTCGCAGTTAATTTATTAGTTTCCTTCCCTCCTCCTCCATCTTGCTGCCTCTTTTCAGGGACCTCATACATACTACGCCATAGTCCACAGGCATTCTTTAATTTATACAAAATACCTGCATGTGCATGGGATTCAGTTGAAAATTTTAAGACACAGCCAGATTTATTCTTGCTATTTGCACACAGCAATGTATGGCCGGAATGCAAACACCATACATTAATTTATGTTTTGGATATTCTTTGTGCGTTGAGAATTAAGCACTGTTACTTGGATTAAGCATAACTTAATTATCATTGTTGGTACCGTCTGCTTTCACGTGCGGCTGTTTCACCCCCAGGGATTATTTTTTTCTGCCATAGAAGAACCACAAAGTTGCTAGCTGACAGTAAGCTGTTTTTACTACTTAGATCAAAAGGCAGAAAGAGCCAGTTCTCATCCCAGCTCTGAGGACAGGGCAGCACTGGTCCATGAAGAAAGCGAGCAATCCGATGAGGAACTCTTATCCCTCTCCAGCCAGCACAGCGGCACCAGCACTGACAAAATCCACGGCATTTCAAAGCACAGCAAAAAGCAGCAAGAGCAGCCAGCCCCACCTCCACAAGAGGACGTAGATCTTCTAGGTTTGGACGGTACTCCTATGAACTATCCAGCGGCCCCCACTGCACCACCATCTAACTCAGACTTGCTGAGTGACCTTTTTGGGGTTGGAAATTCTGGAGGATTAAACCAAGGTGGTCAGGGAGCTGCTGAAGATGTCTTTCAGATGGGTGGAGCTGGTTCGGCACAGTCAACTCCACGGCGGCCTGTAACTTCAGCATCCCCTTCGTTGTCCCCAAGAATAGGAGAAGGTAAAAAAATCTTAACCATAACATTGCTTTGCAAAGAAATTCACTTTAAGCAATTGATGCTAAACAAGATTCCTCATGAAAAAGAGTTGCGTCTTCCTTTGGATTCATAAATTACTCTTCGTGATTATTAGTTCGTACAGCTACTAACTGCTATGTTTTAAGACATGTGGATAGAAGTTTTTTTTTTAAATCTCTCCTCAGAACTCAGATGTAAATGCCTCCATTTAGTGCTGGAAAATTTTCCCTATTTGCCAGCAGTTTCTTCACTCCCTCTATTTTATGCTACTTAGGAAAATCTGGATTTTTTTTTTGCAGGATAGGCATAGTATTGCACTGGGAGATAAGAGAATGGGAGAGTTTCCTTGTGTGAATTTTCAATCCTTTCTAGCCTCGTTGTATATTTTAAGAGAGAGACTGTGAATATGTGCAATATAAGATCCAGTTCAGAACCATACATTTTGTTGTTCTGATCCCAAGAAGTAATCCTTTAACAGTAGGAGGATGGCTAGGAGAGAATCAGGATGACAAGATGAAAAAAAAATCCATCTTTAACAAGGAATGCTTAATTAGGCTCTTTTTGATTTTATCTATTGCTACTCTGGTTACTTGGTTTTTGAAAAGAATTGTGAATTCTATTAACTAGACGTAATGCTAACCAGCTATTATTTACCTGGTTTCTTTCTCTAACTTGATTGTATACTATACGCCAGGGCTTTTCAACCAGTGGTACGGGTACCACCTGTGGTACATTGGCACCTGGCAGGTGGTACACGACCATCCTAGAAAAGTGGTAGCGGGGGAGGGGAATGAGCTGAACCGGTGGCAGCACCGCACAAGCCTGAGCGAGAGATGGCTGGAGCTGCAGGGCTGTCAGGGCTCAGCAGAAGAACCAGGCGCTTTGGGGCTGTCAGGGCTCAGTGGAAGCACCAGGATCAGCACCAGGCTCCAGCTGGAGCTCGGCGCTGATCCTGGGGCTTCTGCTGAGCCCTAAAGAAGCACCAATCAGCTGGAATGTTGCAGCATCTCCAGGGTCTTGTGATTTACATTCAGATGCTTGGCAACTGATCCATATTTATGACGGTCACAGTGTCCCAGGGTCATGTGAAGTGACCAAAACCTGCTGCAACCACCCAGCAGATGGGGGGGAATAAAAACCAAACACCCCCCACCCCACCCCTGCTGCCAATCCCCAACAGAAATGCTCATAACAATGAAAACCTCGAACAGGAGGAAGAGCGCCGCTGGGTGGGCAGGCAGGTGTCTTGCTCGGCTGTGGCTTGGGGGGCACTTTTTTCAGTGCCATTGTAACTTTGGACAGTCATTAAGCAAACTGTTGTAAGTCGAGGACTACCTGTACTTTATCACTTTTTTCCTTTTTGGGGGGGGGTCATCAAATTTTTGACACCTTGCTTGACTGGTGGTACTCAGATATTGCCATATCCTAAAAGTGGTACAATGGGTGAAAAGGTTGAAAAGCCCTGCTATACGCCAATGGAGCAGGATATGTTATGACACCTACTGGCATATCCTGTGCCCTTGCACATATAATCATTTACCTATGCAATCTGAATTGCCTATTTATAATGTGACAACAGGCATTCTTGATAAGTATTTGCTGAAAGTTGTGTGTCATCTATCATCACCACAGCATGGGTCCACTGTTGTTTTTCGCAACCTAATGGCTACTGTGATCTCCCTCTCCATGTTTATATTAGATTAAAAGAATTGTGACACTTGCTTTGGCAATGGTTCACCTTAATGACACAGTTTATGTAAAGTTAAGAATATTACATTATTTCTTTAAAATGTAAGTATATTGCCCAGTATTGGAATAGAAGGAGAAGCATGTTCTTAGAACTATTTTTTTTTCCAGCAACTGCCTTTGACCCGTTTGGGGGTAGTCCTAAGCAACCTGTCCCAGATCTTTTAGGCTCTTTCCTTTCCTCAAATGCCAAAAGTGATCCTTTTATTCAAGCAACAAGGAGTCCTTCACCTACAGTGCAAGGGGATCCCTTTAGCATGGGTATGATGTCTTCTTTTATTTTTGAATTATGACAAAAACGATTAATGGTACCAACCTTTTCCCTCTTGAAATGTGGGTCATTTGCAAACAGAAGAAATAAAATGCTTTATTTTTCAATTTCGTTAAATGGTGCTGTGAACAGCATCTGTTCACGAATGAAAGCGAATATATGTGTCCCAGGATAATATTGCAGGATCCAATCTGGGTTGGTAATCAGGACTAGAAGTATAGTTTTCCAAGCTTTTGGGCGCATGCTGGAGCCCATCCTGAGGGAACTTCTCTCTCTGGTAACTGACCCAGATTGGATCCTTCTGTATCTGTTCAGCAGTAAAATAGAACATTGGATGGTTATTAGTAAGCATTTTGGGAAAACTCTCATATTTTTTAAAAAAATGTGAATAAGACTGTAATTTTATTTATAAAAAAATGTGGAATCTGTTCATCGTCAGTGATCCAGCTTAACCTTAGCAGACAGTTCCCAGACACTCGAAATGGCATGGCTGCATGAGGAAATTATTGCTTACATTTAAGTCATTGACGTCTTCTGCTAACATGAAGTAGAAGCCTGTTTCATACACACAGTATCAAGTGTTTATTTTCCAATCTTTCCGTGGCTGAAGCAATATTTTGCCTTCTGCTTTTCACCCAATGTCATGGAAAAAAATCTATCTGGTGGCTAATAATCCATTGGCATTATTAGCTGGTCATTGGCACAACTGATATTTCTTTGTTGAGAACTCCAGTTCAAACACAAGCCCTCTTTGATAATTGACCCTGCCAATATTTCAGAATGAGGTTATGCACACCTGATCCCCTCCAGGGTTTGTACTAGACTATCATAGCAAAGGCATCCACAGTTAAGGACAAGGAAAGGATTAAAAAAATAAAAATCTAAAATGTCTAAGGTCCAAAAATGCCTGGACACAATAGTCAACACAGCCGATATTTTGGGAATTGTGTCCCCTCAAATGTTATTGCCGAACAATTTTGTCCATCCTCCTACTTTATACAATTGGGAAGATGCAAAAATGGTTGAAGGAGACACTGCTTTCTTCTGAGTAAATAAGTAGAATTTTAGCCTTCATGCATTCTAAGAAATAAATAAGTTGCTGGAGGCTAACACTTTGCTTTGCAGCATTGAAGCTTGTATTTTTTTTTATTAAAAAAAAGTGATATGGAATTGGGAACATACTAGTGCACTGATATCCATTAGGAACCTGTTGGCTGCATGTGGTTAAAGCATTTTTAATAGGCATTGTTGCATGACAGTCTTTATTATTATTATTATTATTATTATTATTATTATTATTATTATTATTATTATTATTATTATTATTATTATTATTATTATTATTTATATACCGCCCTATCTCCCTTACGGGACTCAGGGCGGTGAACAGGCGATAATAAAAATCACAATAAATATTAAATAAAAAGCCTGCTCTAAAATACCCCCTATAAAAACCCCTACCAAAACACAATCAAAACTACGCCAGGGGTTGCATGTCAACTTCCTCCTATGTAAAGTCCATGAACCTGAATTTTCTAGATGACAAAAAGCATGCATGTTGATTTTCTGAAAATGAATGTAGAACACTTTAGGTATTCATTTCTGCTGAAATGAGTACTCACAAGCTATTTATTTTGAGAAAACTGCATATATATTTTACTTAACGAGAAGATATGGTGAATTTCCCAGAAACAATGTGATAAAAGCTAAAAAGAAATGCACAGAGAACTTTTTATAGCACTATTTTAAAAAATATTGCTAAATGGCAATATTTATCTTTTAAGGTTCTTCCAGTACACCCACTGTTTCCATTCAGCCAGATGTTTCAGGAGACTGGGAATGGCCTAGTAAATCAGGTTTGTCTGAAACCAATATATAATATGTTTAAGATGATTTATAGCAATAGCACTTAGTGCTTTGCAGCCCTCTCTAAGTGGTTTACAGAGCCAGCATATTGCCCCCAACAATCTGGGTCCTCATTTAACTGAAGGAAGGATGGAAGGCTGAGTCCACCTTGAGCCAGTTAGACTAATATTTAACATGTTTAAGATGATTTATGTGAAAGGTGTTCACCTAGGAACGGTGACATTCATCATCGGTTTCTAAGTAGTTATTTGTTTGTAAGTTATATATTTCACCTTCCCTTCAAGAGCTCAAGATGACATAGTATATAGCACTATTTGGGGTGGAGGGTGCCTTCAAATTTGTATTGATTCCTGGCGATTGCCAGGACCAGTCATTGTATTTTGCTTAGCAAGATTTTTGGAACTATTTTGCCATTGCTTTCATCCTAGAGAGAGAAAGACTGGCCTAAGATCACACAACTGTTTTCATGCCTAAGGCAGGATTAGAACTTATTGTCTCTTACTTCTTAGCCTGGTGCCTTCACCACCTACACCAAACTGAAGTGGCAGTTAGATTCCTATCAGGAATGTAAGAGGGGATCAGCCTCCATCAATTGTTACTTAAGTTTTGAAAATATGCTTGTTCAATGGACACAACACATTTAACTTTAAATGTTGAACAAGAACTGCCCAAAGGTGTTACAGAAGTCCTCATGAAATATAAAAATATTACATCCAGAAAAGTATTGATGTATTACAGAGATTTTACAAAAGCATGTGTACTGCAAATTATACATGCTGTTATTTATATTTATCTAGTTGTCAAAAGCCTTTTTATAATACATGAGCCAAGTTAATATGCTAATTAATAGCATAATTTAATGAAAAAGTAATCTAGATATTATTTTTTTCTTCTCTAGTTTGTCAAAGGTTATTTGGTGCTTGTTGAGACTTGTTCAACGATGTTGTTTGAATATATCTTCAATACAGATCTTGTAGAAAGACATATTCCCAATTCTATTAATGATATACTTTGCTTATATTGAGCTAACCAACTAGTTTATGCAGTTGGGTTGTGCTGCTTTTAGCTCTGAGATCATTCAATTATATTTTGTAAACTTGCTTTTTCTCTTCTTACGTCATCTAGGTATGGTGAGCAAATCAACTGCTTCCAGCCCTACAGGATCAGTGCACAACACCCCTACACATCAAGCCAAACCACAAACTCTGGATCCTTTTGCTGACTTGGGAGCTCTTGGTGCAAATCTAGCAGGTTGACTAATGATTGCATGGCCAAAAGACATGTGTATTCAGAAGTGCATGTTCATATAACAGTATGCTATTATTAATGTCTGTTGCCTGCATCTCCAGAATGAATAACCATAGTCAGCCCATGAATGGCAGATAACAAAATGCTGCCACTTTCCCAGCTCTCAGTGTTTAATACTAGACAAATGTTAAGTTATTGGGGGCTCTTCTAATGCTAATAGATTATATCATATAAATAGTTTGATTGATGATCTTCAACAGTACATTATCTAAAAGTTGAACAATTAGAAGTTACATATCTCATTCCATCTATCATTGCAGCTTTGGTTTTGTATGAGAAAAATTGCCCATCTTAACCAACACAGTTAAGGAAATAAGTAAGCACATTAACTGCAACCCAATTAATAGATCATAAAATGTATGGAATTGTCCATTTTTCAATATCTTTCCAACGCCTTCCCCCATTTTTTCATTAACCTTTAAAGCCTACTATGATAGTATCAACTAATTTTATAGTTTTCTTTCCTGTTTGCTGCCTCATTTGTTTAAATTTCCCATTGATGTTGAAATAAGGTCCCTCTTTCCTGGATTGGTTTTCTGTTGGTTTACAGAATCAAGGCCAAATAGATAATTGATGTGCTGCGGCATGGCTGTTTGTAGTTATTATCTTTTTTTAATTTATCTCACAGTGTCATGGGGATCTTTTAGAACTGGAGCTGGAAATCTCACTCACTCACACACACACACACACACACACACTTTATGCTTTTTTCACTATTTACAGTGAAGCCATTTATAGCAGTTATTTACAGCAAATATATACACACAATTTCAGTGTTCACTCAATGTCAGGTTTCCTCCTAAGTGTCCCTCACTCCTCCTTCCCTTTTTAAGAGAGATGGTCCCCTTCTAGCTCCCTGCTTCCTCTCCCTTTTCTGGGATTATCAAAGTCAGAATGAAAAGAAAGGAATGGGCTAGATTAATGTAACATGCTCAGCATGGCTTGACTTTCTTCTGGATCTATTCAGCTACAATACTGCTTCTCCATTGGTAAAAGAACCTTTCTCTGGATCCTCTGCCTAGTCCAGTGGTTCTCAACCTTTTTAATGCCACGACCCCAACCGGTCGTAAGTCGAGGACTAAACCGGTCGTAAGTCGAGGACTAAACCGGTCGTAAGTCGAGGACTTTCCCTGCCCGGGAGCGCCACGCATGCGTGGTTCCGCCCCCTGCGCCGGCCAAGGCGTAGCTGGCAAGCGGCAGAGATGGAGCAGGCCGACCACCAGCTGGCCCAGCCCAAGGGAGGTAAGGCACCCGCCGGAAAAGGGGGAAAAAATGGCGGACAAAAAAAATGGCAGACAAAAAAAATGGCGGACAGCCTTGCTTGGCGACCCCCATGAAATGGTCGATCGACCCCAAATGGGGTCCCGACCCACAGGTTGAGAACCACTGGCCTAGTCCTTTCCTCAGAGGGCTTTGCCAATAACCCATGAACCTCTTCTTTCCTGCCTTGAGCCTTGGTGAAGATGTCCTCTCTCTGGGCTTTTATTTCCCTTCTTCCAGGGACCTTTCTTTTCTCTCCCTAACTGGTGACTGCTCTGCACATCCACAAAACTTTACTGTCCAACTTCTGTCTCCAACTACCCTATTTTACACAGCATTTTTCTGTTGTTTCCTTCTTCTCTCTCTCCCTCCCTCCCTCTCATTTGCAATCTGACCAGGAGCATGTCCCTCAGAAACGTGGAGGTGGGTGCTCTCTCTCCCCTAGGGCTGTAGTCCCCAACATCCATATATCAGACTGGACCAATGGGCCTGCTGCCTCTACATCTCCTCACATCAGCTTGCCTAGCAGGAGTTGTGACAACACAAATGGCCTTCAAGCCCAGGACTGAGCTGCTCCTCTTTTTTTCTCACTCCATTTGTTGACTCACACCAGCAGCTATGCCAGGTCATATGCCACAAGTCAGCAATAGGGAAATGATACAAAGATGCAAGCAAAAGTGTAACATTAGGATTACAGTTGATGAGATCTTAAAATATATTCTTAATGAATAGAATGATGCCTTAAATATGATGAACAAGTCTCTTGATTATATATTTGAGTTGATTGGATGACTTTTTGCTTTGATCCCCACCCACACCCCAAGCAAGCAATCAACCATAACTTCATCCTGCAGTTGAAAGTAATGGGACATATAAATTTATTTGTTCTGGAGAAGTTGAAGGATACAGTCATTCTCCACTCTTATTCCCAAATCTATTAGGAAATATGTCTTATAACAGAGGTCACCAACCTTTCTCGGTTGGCAGATCGGAGAGAAAGGGAGGGGGCAGCATTTTACACATGTGCGAACAGGGCCGCAAGCATGCGCGTGACGCAAACGGGGTGGTGCTAGCGCCCATGTGATACTAGCCTTGCCCTGTTCTTACACGGTGCTCCATTTTTGCTCCCTGTTGGGCGTCGTTGACCTGTTTTTGTGCCCCGCGGTGCGCCATACTATTTTTGCGCCCCGCAGCTGCGGCACTAACACAAGTGAGGGGGTGTGTGCGCACATGTGTGCGCACTGGCCAGCCTGTCCTGTGGCCCATTGGTCAGCAGGCCACGGCCTGGCAGTGTGCCATGGCCCACAGGTTGGAGACCCCTGTCTTATAAGATCATTGTGCCTATATACTATTGCAGAGTATAATACTTTTTAGCATTATAATCTTGGAAATGTATTTTATTTACAGTTCCCAAGACTTGATACTTGGTTATAGGTGTAGCAATTCTCATTCTGGTTGCTTACTAAGCCAAATGTAACATTAATACATTGCTTTACTTCACGTTCCAGGTTGTCCTTCCTTTGCCAGCAAACCCAATACACCTACAGGAATGGGAGGGGTTTTTCCTCCTATGGGATCACCACAGAAACCATCTCCCCAACCAATGGGAGGTGGCAGCTGGCCACAGGGCTCTGGATTCCCTAGGCCTCAAACTCAGTCTAAACCTCAACAAAGCATGCCTCATTCTTCTCCGCAAAATAGGCCGAATTATAATGTGAGTTTTTCTGCAATGCCTGGTGGTCAAAATGACCGTGGAAAAGGATCGGGCAGTTCTGGTAACTGAACTTTTACTTTTTTGAACTATATTTTAATACAAATTATATGTTGCTTGGTAGGCTACGAAGTGTGATATTTTCATGGCAAGTCTCAGTTAACTATGATATAAGTGACATGTCTGAAATTAAACTAGACTTTACAGTATTATATTCTACAATACATTTCACTAGATGTGGAAAGAGAATAACAAAACTCAGCTATACCATTTTACAGCATTATACTTATAATTAAAAATTTTAATTGCCTCATGTTCACCAGTTTAAAAGAGCTGAACTTCTCAAATGCAAATAAATGAAAATTAGATTCATATTATTTGAACTGCTGAGCGAGTTTAAGCCCAAAATGGGCATATCTGGTAAATCAAAGAAGAGGAATCTTATTCAGATGGGTAGGCTAGAAAAGGCAATATATGGAGTGCTAAACTTCAGGTAGTCCTCAACTTACAACCAAAATTGAGCCCAAAATTTCCATTGCTAAGTGAGACGTTAAGTGAGTTTTGCCCCATTTTATGACCTTTCTTGCCACAGTTGTTAAGTGAATCTGGCTTCCCCATTGACTTTGCTTGTCAGAAGGTCGCAAAAAGTGATCACATGACCCCCGGACACTGCAACCGTCATAAATACATGCCAGTTGCCAAACATTCAAATTTTGATCACGTGACCATGGGGATCCTATAACAATCATGAGCGTAAAAAACAGTCATGTCACTTTTTCCAGTGTTGTTGTAACTTTGAATGGTCACTAAACAAATGACTGTAAGTCAAGGACTACCTATATACATTTTCATAAAAGATCTGTAATTGAATCTCCACTGACATGCTGTTGTAGAAAGCTCTGCTTACAACATTAGCCCTGAAGGAGAAAGTATAAATTCCCGTTTTTCTACGCTCTAGATGCCTACATATTACCTCGTTTGGCTTAAGTTCTGTGGTGCAGTAATTTGATCGTTTTAGAGAAATATTGTAGTATTTCAAATCAGGAATAATAATACTTATTTTTATTTTATTGTTCAGATTCTAAGCCCAAACTGTCTGCTGATTTTGAGGATCTCTTATCTGGTCAAGGTTTTAATGCTCACAGAGACAAAAAGGGTCCCAGAACAATAGCAGAGATGCGAAAAGAAGAAATGGCCAAGGAAATGGATCCTGAAAAATTAAAAGTAAGCCTTGGGATAGTTTAGAAATTTTAAAATTAAAGTTTCAAAGGTGTATTAGGATGCAGTATTAATTATGTCTGCCATACATAAATAATGTCAATATGCTATAGCAGCTTCTCAGGATGTTTTGCACTGGGTTGTTTTTTCTTTATAATTTCAAAATGTTAGCATCCACATAGTGATAGTGGTGGTAGAAAGGAGGAGATAGAGAGCTGAAACTCCATTTTAAAATTCAAATTTATATACTTACTCCTGCTTCAGGAGAGTAGTTTGAGATTTCTATATAATGAAATAATCATTTTTTTCCTGGAATTTTGAAAAAGGTCTAAGCAAGTTTAGTCTAATAGGAATAATTTACATCCACTTCTTTAGCTGTTTGATTCGGGATTATATCTCTCTACACAGATCCTCGAATGGATTGACGGGAAAGAGAGAAATATAAGAGCATTGTTATCTACTATGCATACAGTGCTATGGGAAGGAGAAACGAAATGGAAACCTGTGGGCATGGCTGATCTTGTAACTCCAGAACAAGTGAAAAAGGTTTATCGGAGAGCAGTACTTGTTGTTCATCCTGATAAAGTAAGAAACAATGTCTTGGGATTCATGTTTTACAAAACTAATATTCTAGTTCTATGTTTTGCTGCAGGCAGCTTCAGATACACAAACAACTGTACATTGCTGTTACCATTATTACTTTAAAATATTAAAACCATCTACATCAAAGGTCCCCAACCTTTTGGGCACCAGGGACCGGTTCTGTGGAGAAAAGTTTTTCCGTGGACCGGAGAGTGGGTGGATTTGTGTGCTGCCTGCACCCCACAGTTGGAGCTTTGCTTGTTTGTGTGGACCGGTTTCTGGCAGGCCATGGTCCGGTACTGGACTACGGACCGGGGGTTGGGAACCCCTGATCTCCATGAGACGGTTTCTTGGGATATACAATGCATCTTGATAATCTTTCATTCATACTAGATCTACATAACCCCGGGAGAAGACTTGAAATTGATTGTCCTATTAGGAGGGGAAGGGGAGAGATAGTTTAGGTGTGAAATCTCAGGATAACTTGCAATCTCAGGATAACTTGCAATATTTCTCTTTTCAATATTAAAAAAGTCTAGAAAGTTCCAATAGGTTTCATTTAAGTGGGGGGGGGGGAGAATAAAAAAATAGATTTCTTGCGTTTTATTCCTCACAATGACTTTTTTTAATTTAAAAAAGTGTGATGTGAAAAACTAATAGTCCCAGTGTAGGAATAATTACATAAAGCACTCCACAGATCACTAGGATTAAGGTTTGATTTTGTGATAAGCAGGGCTTTTTTTCCTCATAGAACGCCCAGAACAGAGTCCTGGGACCTTTTTTGGATGGAACCTTGTAGGGGATAGGCAAGGCGGGTTGTATGACGTGTGAGTTCCAGCACCTTTTTTTTTTAATAGAAAAAAAGCACTGGTGATAAGCAACATTTTTTTTTTGCCATTAAGGTTACATTGAATGGCAATTATTAGCTAGCTAATGAGAGAGTTTGCATTACAAGTATTTCTTTAGTATAAATGAGCATGTACAACATATATCAATCCCACTATGATCAAAAGTGTGCAACATTAATTTTATTGTCATTGCTCTGTTGCTTTGATAAGTAAGACTTTTCTGAGATAATCAAACTTGATAAAATGTGCAGTGTTCCACAAATGAATAATATAGCTTTGTGGTTTGATTTGTTTCAAAAACAAGACTTAGCCCAACCCTCTTGTTTGTTTTTCATGGAATAAATCTATTGGCTTATCTGCTCTGCCTGGTTGTTCAACTCTTTTTGGAGGACAGAAATAGACAAGGTCACCTTCTATGAATCCTTATTCATTTTCACAGTGACCTTGGGGCTCTACTTCTGAAATAAAGTTTTCCTATTGCCTTATCTGGAGGGGTTCCCTCAGTTTGGGACGAAGGCTTTAGTTAGCTTAAGGTTAGTCTTCATACTTCCTGGGGTACTTTATGGAGGAAGGAAGGGCTTCAGCTGAGTCAGTGCTTAGTATTTGCTCTTATATCATTTAAACCTTTCTGTTACTGTAATTGAACCAATACCATAGTCAGTATTACTCTTGCTTTGCAAGTCAAGCTTTACTGGTTCATACCACAGCAGAATGTTTTAAAAAACTCTCTCTCTCTCTCTCTCTCTCTCTCTCTCTCTCTCTCTCTCTCTCTCTCTCTCTCTCTCTCTCTCTCTCTCTCTCACACACACACACACACACACACACACACACACACACACACACACACACACACTCTTTCACACACACACTTCTCTTGCGAGGTTTCTAGGTCTCCTTTGGTTTTATTATATTTTTTTATAAAGTGAAGTTCCACCATTTCACAATTTCCCCCATCGCCTAAAAACCCTTCACCTGAGGTGACTGGAACAAAACTAAGCCCTAGACTTAGTCTTTTTTTAAAAAAAAATATATTAAAAACCCATGGAGAAAAATGGATTTGCTTAAGCCAGGGGTAGGCAACCTTGGCTCTTTTATGACTCGTGGACTTCCTGACACAGGAATTCTGGGAGTTGAAGTCCTCAAGTCATAAAAGAGCCAAGGTTGCCTACCCCTGGCCTAAGCAAACCCAATTTTTTGTTGGATTTTTTTTTGTGTGTATGTACTTTCCAAACAGATTTTTGTACTTATGAGACCTGTTGTTTTGCTTTTCTTCCAGGCTACCGGACAGCCATATGAACAATATGCAAAGATGATTTTTATGGAGCTCAATGATGCCTGGTCAGAATTTGACAGCCAGGGTCAGAAGCCTTTGTATTAGCATTCCTCCTCAGACGTTGCTGTAGATCTGTACTAGTGCTTGTATCGTTCCTTGCCACATGATTTTCACAGCTGAGCTGAAGTCTGGCTGGAGGTGTAAAAGTATTAATACTAGCCCAGTTAAAAAAAATATTCTTCATGGACAGGAACGAAAGAAAGGCTGATCCTTATGAATTACAGATGCAAAAAGAAAGGAGTTCTTGGGACTGATCTATAATGTTCTTTCAGATTTAAACAGGCACTCTAGTAGTAAACTAGGATTGTTTGCCTTGGAACAAGTGAGATGAAATTGTCTCTTTACCTTTAGCAAAAGGGACTCTGTACCACTTTGGATGTGGCTTGATTTTGAAGTTTGTATCCAGAACTAACTCAAACTACATCCTCATTCATATGCAGTTCTTTAAAATACACTCTTTCTTATCTCAATTGGCCCTTAAATTGTTTATTATATTTTGAATAACTGGATTATGTCGCTGGTAACTTATTGCAGCCTTAAACATTGTATTGTATTTCAAGTTTCAGATTTAAACAGACATTCTACACAATAATTAAGTTTGGAGTTGCATCTTTAAATAATCAATTATATTAAGTCAGAAACCTCTTGGAGATGATATCAAAATCAGTAGCACACTGTAGTTGACTGTTCTGCACTAATAGAAACTGAGGGTGTGGTTATATTGCAAGCTTTTAAAATTCCCCATTGAGATATATTATCTTCTTACGTACAGGTGAATCCTTGACTTTTCCGTTAATTATGTTCTTCCAAAATTTTAATCGAGTTCAGTCAAACATACGTTTCCCAGATCATTTTTAACACAGCCTGATTGCAACATACTCACCTTCTAAGCCTCTGGAAATAATTTATTTTGTACCTTATTCAAATGATGGAATCTTACCTACAATAGATATATTGGCTCAAAAAGCAATAAAATACAAACATCTGTATGGTACCTATGAAGATAAAAGTGTTTTTTTCACCTTCTTACAAAACTAATTTTACATAGTACTTTTTCTGCAGAGAAACACGTAATGGCAATTTTATTTAATGAATGAAATCCAGTCACAGGCAATTATGCATTATTTTCCCTCCTAAACAGCTGTCATTATGTCAGCTTGCAGGAACAACTATGTAGACCTGGACTGAGTATTATTGATCCTGAAGTGACATTTGCAAATTGTATTTCTCATTTATTGAATGTATGGTAGCACAACAGTCCTGTCACACATTAGAATCTATTATACTGCCTATCTCCTATAAAGCTGTTCAGAGATAGGTCTAAAAAACACTGGGTGGAGGAAAATTGTCTGTATTTTCACTAGGAGACTAGTGGATGGTCAGAAGTTTTCACTCTTAAAGGGAGGAATTTCAAGATAATGTGAAAATCTTTGTCTATTTAGTGTTTTTAAGACAATCTGTTTTTTTTTGTTCTGATTTTCTAGTGAGAAACCCTTTTCTGCAGATACAGCATGTCAACCAGCCTACATTTATTTTTATATTACATGCCATCTTTTTGTTGTATCGATCCATTATTTATTGCCATTTACTGCCAATGTGAATCAAAAACACCAAGTTCTCCTTTTTTATATATACAAGACATTAAGACGTTTGAAAAAAAATATATAACAAACTGGATGTTATTTATTAACATATTATGAAATGTTTTGATCAAGTATGTGCTTGTCTATTAAAAAAAACATTTTGGAATGTGAATTATGTTCCTGTGAATGGTTTTACTCCTTTATTTCGACCTGTAGATGCTTATGATGCTGTATATAAATAGATTTAATATAGCAAACATTTTTGAAATTATGCCAATAATTAGCTTAGTGTATCAAATTTATTATTTTTACAAGTTTATGTGAAACACAAAGCAATCCTTAAGTTTCATCCTAGTTCAGCATCATGGAAAATTATCCAGCTTAAACACCTCCTCTAACTGCTGTGTTTTATGCATGAAAATGAGACCTGCTATGCGATCAAAACTACTGAAACCAGATAAGGTTTCTTCTTTCTTTTTGATGCTATCAGGAAATAACACTTTTATTCAGGTGTATCAAGAGTTCTTTTTTCTTTTTTGTAAATCTGCAGTAAGCCCATTGAACTGTGAATAGTCTAAAAGATCTGTATATATTAAAAAATTCAAAGAACTCAGTCCATTTGATTTGTATTTATTCTTTGCGGAATAAAAGTTTGAAGATGTAGAAGGATCACAAGATGTACAGGTACACAAAGTATGATGACATGGAAATGGTAAACTGGAATCCATTTTCTTTTAAAATAAGCCCGTACAAATCTGTGGTGATCCCTCTCTACAATTTTCTGAATTTATATTCTGGGAAACCTCCAGACGGCGGTTCCTTGTTTGATTATTCTTTCTTGGAATTTTAAAATATATCAAAATGATGCTGTTTTCTATTTATAGCTTTCCTATGCTTCTACACTGGTTTTTTTAACCTTTTTCTTATGAAAGAATACCTGCTATTGCCTTGGATTGCTTGCAATTCTACCAATATCCTGTGTATGAATGGTCAGAGAAGCAAAAGACTAAATCAATATAAATAAAGTATCAATTATTCTTCAGAGCAGTCTAACTCTTGAATATTATGCTGTGTGCAAAAAAAAGGGGGGGGGAAGGTGAATGGACTTGTTTGTTGAAAATTTTGTTAGGAGACAAATTATGCTGATGAAGTGCTTTTCTTATGTAGTTGTGGACATTTAAGGCAGGGAAACATTCACGAATGTATGCAATATTCATATTACAGGGCCAGTAAAAAAAATCCCAGGGTGAAATAGCCATACTATGCATGGATGGTACTGAGAAGTAGACTAAAAAGCATAAAACAGGCATTTATAATTCAGGGATTTATTCTCTGAGGTAGAAGCAACTAGTGTAAGCTTTATAGGGACAGATCTAAACTTGAAATTAGAAGGAATTTCCTGACTCTCGGAGCCATTAATAAATGGAATAATCTGTCTCTTTAAAGTACAGGGCCTTTAGTGGACATTTTAAAGAGATGATTGAACAACTATTTGTCCCAAACTGGATAGGGGGTTGGACTAGAAGACCTCCAGGGTCTCTTCCAACTCTATGAGCCTCTGTTTACTGAGGACACCCATCATCAGTAATTTAGTTTAATGCTTCAGGCTAAAGGCACTTCTACATGAAAGCCTTCGCGCTGCTCGAGAAGTAATCATTTTAATGTTTTTCTTTCCGCGTCCTATCATTCTATTCACCTGGGAAAGAAGAAACGCCCTCATGCCTTTCCATATATTTTGACCATGGGTCAAACTGCTTTTGAGAAATCAAAAGGGTAAAAACTGGGATGGAGTAGAAGTTCTCAAACTTCATTTGCTGTGCCGTTACAGATTTTTCGGCAGGTATAACGCGCAAATAGGAATAGGAATAAAAGTATTCTGCTCTATGTTAATAAATCCACGACAACTTTCCTCCGCAAATTATCCCCAAAACAAATGCTTCTTAAAATGAAAAGCGGACGTGTATTTTCCGCGGAAGCTCTGAGACGACAGTAAAGCAAAACTAGTTCATTTTAGCTGGGTGGAGGAAGGAGGAGGAGGAGGAGGAGAAAACGTCCTGTAAGATTTACTCGCAAGCTGGTGCCGATCGGTGTGCCTTTCGCGAAAGATCCCCGCTCGATCCCGCCAGATCCCCGAAGAAGCGGTGGCGCGCCGTGATGGGTATTTGGGTATTTTCGTTTCTCTGAAGCAACTTCTTCCCGTTTCTCCCTCTTTTGTTTTCCCCCTTGAGGGAAGGGGCAGGCGTTAGCAGAGGACCACGTGAAGAGAAGGCGGAAGAAGCTTCCTCATACTCCGCCTCCTCTGCCTCGAAGTCCGGAAAGCGATCGTGAGAATCGCTCCTTCAAGGAAGGAGGCATGGCGGGGATCAAAGGTATGAGCCGTTTCCCCTACTTCTCTGTGAGGGATTTATCTTGAGGAAGTCGTACGTTTCAACCTTCTCCTCATCGCTGTGGCAACCGCATCCCTTCCCCGAGACTCAAGATCCCATCTTTTAAATTTTCCCACCTTCTCGCCGGCTATTCGGGCTCTCTTCGTAAAGAACTTTTAGTTCGTAAAGAACTTTTCCATTCTGCTGTTGCTAATGGTGTCGCTTTCTCCTGCATTCTGCCTGGGGGTTCCCGAAGGACATTTCAGTCCTGCGGAAAACAGGTCAAAGGAAAGAAAGATTATCCCTCCCTCTGTCCTTATTCAGCTGGATCACTGTCGTGTTACAATCTGGACCTCTCGGGTGCCAGGCAAAGTTCTTCTTTGCCGATCCTTCCTCCTCTTTGCCCATCCTGTAGAAGCACTCCCTGATGGCTCCTTTGCCTCCTTTCAGCAGGTTTTGGCACATAGTTTCTTGAAACCACTAAGGCCAGTGTGTCCTATTTCTGTTCCACTTTGTTGAACTGTTTCTAATCCGTGGCGTAATTAAAAATTTAACCCAAAATCTAAGAACCGAAGCTAAGGATAAATTTTTGCAAGCAGCATCAGTTTGCTCCTTTGATAAAGTTTAGTAGGTATGGCGGCAGCATTTTTAAGGGAAATGTGAAATCACTTTATGTGGTCAAGTTAACTACATCATTCATCTCTCTGCTTAGAGCTTCCATGATGTGTGCTAGCATTATTTTTTAAAGAATGTCAGCAGCCAGTGATTTTATAATTATATTCGTGATAGTTGCTTTATTAAAATTAAACTGAGTGACATTCTTTTTATTTCCACTTTTGCAGCCTTGGTTGGTTTATCGTTCACTGGAGTCATTGGTTTGACGTTTCTTATGTTGGGATGTGCCTTAGAAACTTACGGGTAAGAGCATATTACCTTGAGTGAGACAATATCAGCTCTTTGTTATCAAGCATGTAAATTCTGAAGACATTTACTTGGCATGAAAGCCTGTAAATGTAGTAGAATAATACAATTTGAGTAGTAATAGTGGGATTAATACTTGGAAATGGTATGAAAAGAGAGCAAAACTGAACTAGTC